TGACCCTTGGGCGCGCGACCCCCAAGGGAAAAAAGGCTAGGTGGCAAATGGTAAAACCAATGTTGGGCATTGCTGGAGAAGCTTTACTTAAGGCGGACTGTCAAGGGGTTCCCATAATAGCCCAACCGCGTAAGGGACGCAAAATCCGGGAACATAACACCGATATGACGGAAACTAGGGCGGCAAGAGTGGAACAAAACACCAGGCATAAGGCCGAGCCTTCCACCCTTTACCAAGTATATAGATGCATTAATTAAATAAGATATATTGTGATATCCCAACAAGTAAACATGTTTCAACAAGGAACAACATCTCCATGTTCCAACAAGGAACAAACTTCAATCTTCACCTGCAACTAACAACGCTATAAGAGGGGCTGAGCAAAGCGGTAACATAGCCAATCAACGGTTTGCTAGGACATGGTGGGTTAGAGGTTTGACATGGCAATTTGGGAGGCTGACAAGCAAATGGTAGGCATCGTAGCATTGGCATGGCAAAAGAGCGAGCAAACTAGCATAGCAAAGATAGTAGTGATTTCGAGGGTATGATCATCTTGCCTGAAATCCCGCAAGGAAGAAGAACGAGTCCATGAAGAAGACAAACGGACGTAGTTGAACGGATCCTCACAAACGCGACGTTATCGGAACCAACCCGAAGAAGCAATCACCGGAAAAGGAGCACACAACATAGTAAATAACCAACACATCAACATGGCATGATGCACAAACGAGTATGATGCATGTCCGGTTTAATGAAGCATGGCATGGCAAGGTGCACAAGCAGTTCTACAAATTAAGTGGAGATCAATACGCAACTGCATATTGACGAAACACCACGATAAGTTATTTAGTTTGATCTCGTTTATGTACTCAACAATATTAAATGTTGGTTAACATGGCAAGAGGGTGAAGCAAAGTAAAACTACCTATCTAGTCAAGGTTAAATGAGGCCGGAAGCAACGAACAACAATTCCGGAAACTCCCCATACGCATATTTTAGATTGGGTACTGTTCTGACCTAAACACAATTTTAGGGTTGTTAAACATGCAAAGTAAGGCCACCATGTTAAACTAGGCAAAATTCTACCCCATTTACATATATAATTTATTAAAATCGGAGTTACGGTTATTTAGTTATGAAATAAAGCATTTTAGCATGGCATTTGAGCAAAATTAAACAAATAGCATTTTAAGCATTTTAACATGGGATGAAAATGGCATATTATTAATCTAGATGAAATTCTAAGCATTTTACATATAAAGTTTGTTTTAATCCAATGCATCGTTGTGGAGTTATTATATGCATGAAAATGAGGGTGCAATATGCAAATCTGCCAATTCCTTGGAAATTAGGAAATTCCCAGAACAGAAAAAAAAACGTAGCAGGCCGAAACTGATTTGAACTGGGCTGGGGAGCTCCTCACATCGGGCCTTGAGGCCGGGATCTGGAGCTGGGCCAGAGGCGCTGGAACGAGGCAGCCCACGCAGCAGGACGAGGTCAACGCGGCGGCGACGGGATCGGGCCTCCTCCCGATCCGCCCCGGACGACGAGCGACGACGCGGCCTCCGGCGAGGACGGCGGGGACGATGTCAGGCGACGGACGGCGCGGAGAAGACCGGATCTGGGACGAGGGGCTCGCCGGGGATCCATTCCCGGCGACGGCGAGGCCACCGGCGACGAGGAGGGTTCCATGGGGCGGCGGCGGCGCGAGCTTCAGGGGAGGCGGCGCCTGGAGAGGAGAGAGCGGGGCACTCCTGGACGGGGGGTTTGGCGAACTCCGGCAGCGCGGGGGGTTCGGCTCCGGCGAGCTCGGGCCGGCGGGGAGATGCCACGGCGCGGGAGAAGGCGCGGGGGCGCGGGGCGCTTCGGGCGCTCGGGCAGCGGCGTCGCTGCACCGACGGGATGCAGGCGTGGCTCGCAGATCAAGGAGGGCCAAGGGGAGCTCCTCGCTCGGGCGTCGGGTGAGGACGGGGATGGAGGTGAGGGGGCCGGCCTGGAGCTTTGCCAGAGACGTCCGGGCACAGCTGCGCTGGATCTGCTGCTGCTTGCGGCACGGGGACGAGGACGAGGGAGCTCGTGCTCCTGCCGGGCTCCGGCGAGGCTGGCTCGTGGTCGCTGCGGGACAGCTGGATCCAGGGCCTCGGTGGGATTGGTTGGCTGGAAATGACTGCGCGAGAGGATTGGGCAGATGGATCGGGATGGATCCCGAGGAGGAAGGGACAAGAAGAGTGGCGGCGCTCGGGAGAGGGTGGATGGGACAAGATCCCTAAAATTTAGGGTTGGTCTTTATATAGCACAAGTGAATTTTGGATAGGGGTATTTAGTCCCTCCGATCTTAATCGGATGGACTAGGAATAAATAGATAGGAAGTCCAAATAGGAAAACGGAGATGTTTTCTAGATGTTTGGAGATGATCTGGACATAGCGGTAACGACAGAGCGGGTCGCGTTCGGGACAACTTTCGGACGCGCGTGAGGGGGGTCGCGGGCTGACGAGAGGGGTTAGGCTGGACCTGGCGGTAGGTAGCGGACTGTGTAGACGGTCTCGAGCTGAGGGAAGAGAAGAGAGGGAGGCCCGGCGACTGTTTCCGGAGACCAAAAACGTCCGACGTTAGACCGGCTATACTGCCGCTATAGTTATCCGTTAGGGCATCAAACGGACTCCGAATGCGATGAAACTTGGCAGGTGGTCTACTGACAACAAAACAACACCGCATGCCAACTTTCAACCCATTCCGAGAATATTTTCCGGCCACTTATAAAATACTATTTCGGACATGCCGCGGGCGCGTGCAAGTGTGGTTGGGCTCAGAACGGACAACGGAAGGAACGAGGAGACCGGGACGGATGCAAGTTTTAAAACATGATGATGCAATGCACATGATGACATGATGAAATGAAACACACAATCAAATGACATGGCAACTACAGCGAATAACTGAACGACACCCGGCACATCGATCTCGGGGCGTTACACCCGACCTCACAGAGAACCCCTTCACCCAAAGTCCTGAGATCCTTTGGTCGTCGGAGAACTTCATCCTCTTCCGTGTCCATCTCGTCGGACCCGGCCCACCAGAGTTCTTCCTCTATATGGTCGAAGGCCCGGAGTTCAAGAGGCCGATGCTTAGTCTGCTTCCTGACTTTGGCTCGTATTGTGTTCGCGAGATGCTAGATCCATACCTTGTAGGCGTCGTTCCCGACGATGACGGCAAGAGCCATTTCGTGACCGCTTTCAAAAGGAAGGAGTCAGCGGATTGCGAACTCCACATCTACAGGCTTGAAGGCAGTACCGGGACCTGGAGCAAAGAGCATATTTTCCCAGATTTCCCCTCCTGGGCACGTTCAGGGGTTTTTCCAGATAAGGTGGTTGCATTAGGTCAAGAAGTGGGCTATGTCGATCTCTTGAAGGGGATTCTTTTCTGCAATGTGGTCAAAAATCCGGTGAAGGCACATTTCATTCCATTGCCGAACCTGCTACCCAACAACCAACACTACTTCTATGAAGAATTGCCAGGACAGGCAATACGTGATGTCACCTGCACTGATGGTTATAAAATCATGTGTGTTGAGCTGGAAGATTTATTCGGTTTCACAACCAGAATCCCTGATCCTGATGTACTCCATGATTTTGAAGTTGATCCATCTATGAAGGTGGTAAAGCACATGCGTGTTGGTTGGAGGCTCGTGACATGGTATCGGGAGATTTTTTGGGACCATTGGCAAAAGGTGTGTAAGATTCATGTTGATGAACTTGGAGAAGTCTCCTTGCCTCCTCATGGTAGAACAGAACCCTTGCCACCCAAGAACCTGAAACCATCTTCTAGAGCTAAAAAGTTGCCTCTGAGCGACCTGCAAACAGCTTGTCCGATCCTCTGTGGCGATTATGTTTGCCTCCTCTCCAAGTGGGACTATCGTGATGATGAGGCTTGGATTGTCACTGTTGACATGTGGAAGAAAGCAGTGAGAGGACTGGTGCGAGTTAAAGATGGGATATCCATGCGTCTCAATCCAGCCTACATATCCTTTGTGATGAAGAATTATCGCAAGGGTGAATCAGGTAACATTAGCGCTACCTGTTTATCATGTGACACTGCTGAGGCATGTTATTCCCCTCGTCCTTTTTGGGGATATGTTTATTTATCAATTAGCTGTGGTTTGAGCAAATTTAATTTTGGTATTCACGTTTTTGTGTGTGTAGCACATGTTATCATTCAGTCTGTACAGTAATAATAGTTAAGCCTTAAAACGATGGTGGTTCTTATTCAGGCTGTACAGTAATTATTAAGACTGAAACCATGGTGGTTAAACCACATTCAGTATGTGCATTAATAGTTAAGACCTAGGCTAAAGTATTTTAAATTGTCTGGGGTAGGTCCTCAGTAATCAGCATGATCAATCACTTGTTACTATTTGGCCTGTTCAGTGTTATGATTGGTCATCTATAGTGATGAACAAGTGATCATGAATCTGATGTTTATCTGCTCGTTATGCCTTAGATGGACGTAGCTCTCTTGTGAAGGATACTCCTTTTCACGGCAAACGTTGTCTGGTATGTGCTGTTATCCTTATGTTCTTCTGCTGGTATTTCCATTCCTCCCTATTCAGGTATGATTATCTAAATCTTGGTTTTGTAATCGCTCCTGGAAAACACTAGTAGCAGTTTCCAGCCGAAGAGGATACTGAGGGGTTCGACAATGGAACAAAGAGAACGATATGGTTGAGTCGACCTCCATAGGATCGCCACCAATAAGCTCATGCAATCCTTATCAGGTCATAGTAACATTTGTGAATCTTGGTATGCAGTATGTATTACTTAAAACACCTACCATATAAACCACCTTAGACAAGATAGTTTGTCTAAAATCTTGATGTCGATGGTATCCAAATAGAGAAATGTGCCTGCATTATTGCTCATTAAGGTTGTCAGGCATCGTACCTACTAATGTTTGTATATTTCATGTCCTATGATTATTTCTGTGTATAAATATTAGGCTGATATAGTTTGTTTGTGTTTTTTGCAGTGATGATGCAAGTTTTGGACAAGGATCTTCATTCATTTGAAGCACTGATGATGATTTAAGTTAGATGTGTGTCAGTTGTGCTTTAAAACCATCATGCTTATTCTGCGTGTAATGTTGTTTAATGCATATTGATCCTTCTAGTTGTGTATCTATGCCATGTTAGCATCGGATATATCAGTAATATGATTTAAAACCATCGTACTTATTCTAATATGCATATTGGTCCTTCAGTTCTACTCCGTCCGTTCCTAAATACAAGTCCTTTTAGAGATTCCAATATGGACTACATATGGAGCAAAATGAGTGAATAAGATATGTCTATATACGTACTTATACTCTAAAGTACTCCCTTTGTAAAGAAATATAAGAGCGTTTAGATCACTAAAGTAGTAGTGATCTTAACGCCCCTATATTTGTTTACGGAGGGAGTATATCTTACCCTATGCTGTAGTACCATTTCGTGGGTTGGTTGATAAGTTCAACGTTTCTTGTGATTAGGCCACTTCAAGTGCAAAATGGTGCACAAAATTCCTGTCTATCTCATAATTAAGGAATAAGGGAGTATGTTTTTACATAGTATTCTATTTTTTGCAATGATTTCTTTTGTATGTCCCTGTTTCATAAATATATCAGCGGACCCTGGGCTGAAATAAGCCAAGTGAAGATTTGTGCTAGAGCCCTTTTGGGCTGAAATAAGCTAAGTGGAGATTTGTGCCAGAGCCCTTTTGGCTACACGTACGGTACTCCAGAAAATGGAGTACAATATATCGACCCTTCTAGCTTTCTTGAAAAGAAAAGAAAAGCCGCGTGACGCTGTTCTTTTGCAGAAACCCTTCTAGCTTTCTTGAAAAGAAAAGAAAAACCACGCTTGACCGTGTGGCGCGGCCGAGGGTTAAAAGAGGGGAAGCAGAACCAAGTCAAGATGATATGGGTCGCCCCTTCTTCTTGCGCCAAAGATCTTACCATTTCTGAAGGAACTAGGGCTACATTTTTTTTCAATTTCCATTCAAGAGTTTCTACTGTTTCCACGCCCTTTTCTTGAGACCTCGAAACATGAGGACAAATTACTTCTCTTAGGAACACATACAAGAAAAAGAATAACGGTAGCCCTCCCATTAACTACTTCATTTTCATTTATGAATGTTTTTTAATAAAAAGGTAGATAACTCTCTACCTTATGCATTCAAAACGGATAGAAGCCCGAATGACAAAAGTCATTTACATGAAGATGATATGAGCACCGCACATAAAGTGCAATGGGCCGCTACCAGACCTTGATAGATACTCCCTCCATTCCTAAATATAAATGTTTTTAGAGATTCGTAAATAGTCTTCGCCGCTCTGGCCAGCCTGTTCGCGAGCAATGCAAAGTCGCAGCGAGGTGGCTTAGCGCCGGGCCGGCTAAAGGCAAAGCAGAGGCATCGACTAAAAGGCTATTGCTTGTTCTACGCCGAGCTCAGCAACCCCTGGGCTGAAATAAGCTAAGTGGACACTAGTAGAAAACGACCCATTTGTCCCGGTTCCAGAGGCCCATTTGTCCTGGTTCTGGAACCGGGACTAAAGGGTCGAGATTAAAGCCCAAAACCTTTAGTTCCGGTTCGCTTACGAACCGGGACAGAAGGGGCTCCACGTGGCCGTTGCGGGGATCCCAGGCACGAGTGCCTTTAGTCCCGGTTGGTAACACCAACCGGGACCAAAAGACATCCACGCGTCAGCAGCTGGCACTAGCTGACATTTTTGTTTTTTAGGGGGGGGGGTTAGGGGTTTTTGAAGGGTTAATTTAGGAGTTCCATATTGTGTTAACTAGCTAATAGAGAGAAGTGACCTCTCTTATCTCCGTGCTTGGTCGACGCTATCTACTATATGTATAGAGAGAACTCAACACGCTAGGTAGTAAGCAAATGAAGGAATCATTAATTACACAAGATCGTCATGAACATATACAGAGAGGAGTGCGCCTCTCTTTCTCTGAGAGATTTGTTGAACAATTTTTCGTATATCTATCCGACTCTACTAGCTACATATATACAATATAAGATCTCTTAGAATCCCTAACATCTCATGTCTATATCAATTTCCACATGGTATTCTCCGGCTTTATTGATGACGTGGTCAAGAAAGAATCCCGCGAATTTCTCTTGAATTGCTCGTATGCGATCTTGTGCTAGGAGTTCATCCCGCATCTGCCAGATCTAAATTGAAGAAGAGGGCCAATACATGTATATGAATGAAACTCAACACAAATGATGGTAATAAAATAAAATTGTGAAAATTATTGCTTACGCACTTCATATTTTTTTCAGAGTAGCCCCGCTTAGAGGTCGTGACGTTGTAGATGAACTTGCAAACGTAGTATCCACAATAATTATTCCCTGATTCCTGCCACAAGCACTTTACGAGAAATGAAGTTCAATCAAACTGATAAGCAAGCATGTTAAATGGTATTGATGAAACTAGGTAGAATCAATGAGATGCGCGGAACTAGGTAGTAGTACTGTGACGCCCCGAGTTTGATGCGCCAGGTGTCTTCCTGTTATTCGTCGTCGTTGCCATGTCATCCGCTTGCGTGTTGCATTTTGCCATGTCATCATATGCATTTCATGTGCATGTTTTTCAAAACTTGCATCCGGTCTTTTTCTCCGTTGTCCGTTTCGGAATCCGACACTCTCACACGCACCTGCCGCACCTTTCAGATCTCATTTCGTGAGCGGGAGAAAAAGGTCCTCGGAATGGGCCGAGAGTTGACGAGCGGTCTTGGTATATCCCGGTAGAACGACTGTCAAATTTCGTTCCATTTGGAGGTCGTTTGGTGCCCCAACGGTTAACCGCCTTAACCACCGGACCTCTATCTCTCTGCAGCCCAGCACCCCTCCACAATAGCCCACTAGCCCATCTAAACCCCTCCATGCTCTTCACCGTCGGATCATGATCGTGTAGGCGAAAACCGCACCTCAATAGCCCTCTCCTAGCTCCCTCTACCTATAAATAAGGCCTCCCCCGTCCAAATTCGGATCAAACCCTAGCCTCCTCCTCCTCTGAGTCGCCGGACATGTCCAACCACTGCCCCCGAGCCAATCCGCGCGTGCCACGTCGCCCCGCACCACCACCTCGCGCCCGTGGCCACCGAGGCACGCCGGGCCCAGGCGCGGCCAGGCCAGGCCCGCGCGGCCGCCCGAGTGTCGCCGCCCGTTCCGCAGCCCGCGCCAACTATCGTAGCCCGGCTCCAGCGCCGCCCCGCACCTCGTCGGTGCCACCCCGACCGGGCCCCGCGAGCTCCGCCGCCGCACCGGACCCCGCCTTCGCCCCACCACTGACGTGCACTAGCGCCTTCGCCGGCGTCCCCAACCCCGTCGGCCATCGCTCCACCACCGCGCGCCTCGCCATCCTCGCTTCGCTTCGCCGCTCGCCGACTTCGCCGGCGCCCGGCGTGACCCCGCCGCCGTCCGAGCTCGCCACTACGGCCTCCTCTTCGCTGGATCCGGTCGGGAGGCCACCGGATCCGCCGCCCCACGCCGTTCCCCGCCATCGCCGGAGTCCCACCTTGTCGGAGCCGTCGTTGACCCGCGCCCGAACTACGTCGTCCCGATCCGGCCGCGGATCCATCCGAGCCGTCCGTCCAAACACCCCGCTGCACCGCTTCGTCCCGTTGGACCCCTCCGTCCCAGTTTCTGCGAGGTGATTTTTTGGCTAAGTCCTTGAATTCTAAACATCATGTGTGCATATTTGAGTGGCTCTAACTTCGTGCATATTACTCCGATTTCCGTGCATGATATGTCAAAATGTTCATCTCTCAGTGCTATAGATAGTGGTGTAGTCTGCATGAATGTTACTATTTATCTTGATGCCTTAATCATCGTTGCAAAAATGCTAAATGTTATAATCTGTTGGAAATTGTCATAACTTGGTTGTTTGTCTTTTTCATAGCATTTAGTGTGATTATCTTTTGAGCATCATGTCAAGATGTTTTAGGAGCGCATTCATGCCATCTTTACAGTGATGCAATCCATGTATTTTTATGTGCCCTGTGGTGACTATCACAAGCTTGTAAAGTAGGCTACTTGTTGTTGCTGATTTCAGTGACTTGGTGTTTTCTGCTAAGTATGAACCTGCTATATTATGTTGCCATGTTAACTTGATGCTACTAGTGAATCCATGCATAATATGGATATGGTCAGTAAGGATGTTTTGTATATCTTGTTATGCTCTATCCATGCAAGCCCTTGTTTGCAACTATAGCCTACTGTAGCTTGTTGTAACCATGCTCTAAAATTGCTAAATAATGTTTCTGTCAGCCTGTTAACAGTAAGTTCTTCTTTTCCATGTGAATAGCTAGTGTTCTATGCATCCTATGACCATGTTATTGCCATGAGTAGTTGTACAAACATTCCATGTTACTGTTGGTTGTATTCATATGTCATGATATGCTTTGTGGTGAGTTGCACAAGCTCGCATACATGCCTACTTAATGTTGTTTCTGCTATGTCCAGTAAATTCCACGAAGTGTGTGAATCTGTTATCATTTGCATTCTTGCCATGATGTTTTGATCATGTTCTAGTGGTTTCTAGTAGTATCTCAGTGACCATGTTTTGTGTTGCTCTATCTGTACATGCTTGCCATGCCCTTTGATGCCATGTAATGTTCCTGTAGCATACACTTTTGTTGCCTCAAAATGTGCGCCATGACTCTGTTTTCAGCCTTGCTCTATTTTTCACC